GGTGGTGCATATATAATGACTTTACATAGAACATGTAGGTACACTATAGGTTGATGATGCACAGAAATAAGGTTTCAAGCAATGATGGGTTGTTTCAAAGTTAGGTGTGTGCATATATAATGAATTCCCATAGAACATAATCGGTTGATAAAACACAGAAATGACCAGAAAAAATTGTTGGTTGAATTTACAAATCTTACTTTTCGTCTTCTAAGACTTTGAGAGCTTGTTCCAAAACTTCTCTAGATGACACACTGGTAAAATGTTCTGTAAAAAATACAATATGTCATTTTCGGTGACAGAAATAAACAGAAAATCAAAACATATAACATGTCTACCCATGCGCCTTTGTGTTTTAGTATGTTTTGTTAACTATAATTAAAGAATATACTGTAAAATACTTTATTTTCGCTTGGAATTAATTTTGCTATTTTCACTGAAGAAATGAATGATTTTCACTGAAGTGAAAATAAAATGCAGCAAATTCCCCTTTCCCTATATTTTACATTCAACTGGTTAAAAAATCAGTGAAAATAATTTCCATACAAAACACCCAAAAAGTCTTTTCATCAAAAATTAATTCCAGCTAAAATAAAGTATATTACAGTATACATGTTTATTCATATGTTTACAATATTTAGAAATATTTTGTAAATCAGATAATTTGAGTATTAATATACAGAGAGAATAAATGATTTTCTGCTCACTGCAAGATCTCGCGTAACACATGAAAGACGCTGATCGAATATCTGCCACAAAATACGTTACTACGACGCTATGACCTTTATTCGCCCTGTTTTTGCGCTGCATAGCGCAGCATCTCACAATGAACAATCAAAGGTCTACTGTGTCATTTTGCTACTTACCAGTAGATATAATCTGACCATTTGGCAAAACAGCTCTTTTAGGTGGCATAAGAGTATTTATTTTGTCTTCTTGAGCAGGAGAGCTCAGGGGAACAGACATCCGAGCTTTACTCCTGTCAGGAAAAAAAGACAGTCTTTTTTTAAATTTGTCCAAGACAATTAACCGACTTTCAAATTGACACACAGCAAAGCTACATAATTAATATGCGTGAATATTAACCTTTTGCAACATTCTGCCAAATTTTAACTATCTTTTTATAATTTCCTTGATAATTTTGAACCAAATCAACCATTTCCCATTGGGTACAGGGTCTTTGCAACATTTTTCTATACAAAATATTAAAAATATTAAGTACGATAGGTTTAATTTGTGAAAAGTGACACTTGTCGAAAGAAGAAAATATTTATTTAATAGTATTCTCAAATAAACTGTCATAGGGGTGGATGATACCACAGGTGCAAAACAATGCAATTGAAATATTTGAAATATGATTGTTTATAAGAACTTATGCAACAAAGTTGGTCATAAAGTTTGGGTTACTGTAACAGGGTTTATATAATTATTCACTGACTAGAAAATGTGGTAAATTAAAACCCAGTGAATGTGGAAAATTTAGCATAGAAAACATTATCTAAATGATAAAATTTAAAACCCACTGAATATGCCTGAAATGGTAATCAGCGAAATTTAAACCCAGTGAAAATTAGTGATTTTACAGTAATCTGATTCATCAAATCTAAGAGAAGACGACAAATCGCAAGTTATCAAACAATTTCCAAACAATTTGCAAATGGGTTTGATAATGTTGAAGGTCACCACAATTGGCTAAATATTCACATTCTTGTATTGCCAGTTGTCATGTTCAAGTACAATGCAAATGTACAATGTAAAACTCTTTCAAATTTGCACTGCAAGATGCTTAAAATTTTTACATTCATCCAATGGTTTTCAACGAAATGTGGTACGCATAAGAGTATTATATTTAGCATCACCACCAATACCCAGAAATTATTATATTTGAACAGGATAAAAATACTGTATTTGCTCTATTAGAAGCACGTATCCAATAAAAGTGCACTTACACTAAAAGTCACATACTAAGCCATGATTTTACTATGTCTGTAAAGGCTTTCAACAGAAAATGTGTTTAAATAAGTCTTATTTTGCCCATAGAAAAAACTGTGCAATTTACCTAAGTGCATACACTACTAATAGAGCAAATATCATATATTCATATTAATTGAGAGAATAAGTATTTGCATAATAATAAGTTAAAAAGCACAGTGCACGTTACCTAGGACTAATATCACTATCACTTGGACTGGACAACTGATAAGAATTGCTGTCAGTGGGCACACTATCACTTGCAAGCTCATTTGCAGGAATGAGATCAGCATTAAGAACGCTACTATTAATACTACTGTTATTACTACAGCACTGGAGGCTACAAAAATTGCGATGAGTTGAGTGAAACCTTTGTCTGTAGGCCAAGAAAAGCATGTTAAGCAAGCAAACAGACGAAGTGACTGCGTGACAAAAACAGGACAACAAGCATTGCAATAGATGAAAACAAATATGGCATGAAACAAAAAAGCAAATATTTTCAAGTGTTGAAAATATTTTTATCACCGACCGTCTATCTGCATGGCTCCATACTTGTATTAAAACGGATAGAAATTGAAAAAATATGCTTAGCACAGTGTGAATGCACCAATGTGCATCAATGGAAATGGAAATGTTCTAATGCTGCAATGGCAGACATGCAAAGCCGAATGAGCAATGTTTACATTCTGACTCGCATGGAGAGTGACTGTTTTTACATGCATATAAACTGTTAATTCATAAAATATGACACTATAGACCATTTGTAAAGTTGTAATTTTCATGCATTACATGCTATATTAGCACTGACTATTTTTTCTGATAATTACAGTTGAATTTTACAAATTAGCAAAAAGAATATTAACTTCCACTTACAGCAAGTCTCAGAAGTATTGGGGCAGCCAATTTGCAAACTTGCTAGCGAATTGGCTAACTGCTTGGGTTTTGACTAAACGATTGTCTTTCGAATCTCACTGGCGCCGACTTGTGAGCGCGTCCACTCAGGGCGAGTCTATATCGCAGTAGGGGACATAGAATGCTTTTTACGCAGCCTGGCACTGTCTAGATTCCCCTGAGTAATTTGAGCCCCCGGTTTGAGCCTGGAAATAACCACAGTCAGCTGACGTACAAGTTGATAATATGATAAATGCGATTATTTCACCGATATTATATGGGGGTAGCCATCTTGAACACTGCTTTGAAACTACATGGAT